CACATACAAAAATTGCTGTCTTTCACATATATTTGCCCCAAGTTCAAGGAACTACAAGTCTATGCAATTTAATTTATTTCATAAATAAATAGCTTGTATTAATTTCATAGGATACAAGTGGCTGTTCACAGCAGATGATAAAAGTCTGTAGGAATACACTTCTTAAATGGTAAGGAGCAACTGTGGAAAACTGGGGGAAGAAGAGGGAGAACGGTGACAATCTCGATACACTGATCAAATACAGTAGCTAGATGCATCAAACCCAAAATACAGCAGCTTCTTGCAAATGCTTGCAGAGTCGAGGCACCTTGTTCCTGGACTGCAGATGTGGATGCTTGAAGGATGATGTTCTCTATCTAAACGTGTGCTTTGGTTCTCTGGGATAATCCTTTTTATTCTCGCTTTGTATAGCGAAGCAGAACTTCACTTCACCGTGGAAACACAGATTTGAAAATATGCAACTACTGCACTCAGAGTAAGCCACTGGAGTATGTATGGTTAAAAGTTGAGAAAGGACCTTCTTGAGTACCATACTAGCCAGAAATTACATCAGTGCTGCAGAATGTGTTCTCCAACTCCCCAGCATGATAGCAACGATTAAAATGACTCTCACGATCTTCAAACTACACTCTAGAAAGACTGCCGCTTTGGAGTGCTTCGCACGGTGGGGGAGGAAAGGTACACACAACTAACACATTATTCCTAATCTGATCTACTTTGGGAGTAGTTTTACTCTCAGAGATGCTCATGACAAAGGTCAAAAGAGATGCTGAAAGAAGTTTGATCTTTTCTTTCTCCAAAGACACTGTCTTAAATAAACATGTAATGTTTTAGTCTAGCTAACCACTAAAAATAAAAGGAGTGTAGAAAAAACAGAGTAGAGACATTTTTAATCAGATTTAAACTTTATTTATATCCATTTACTCTAAGGGTAGAGAGGATTTATTCTTCTAAAGAGCATTAAGCACAAGTTCTAAAGGGTGTCAGAAGTACATTTGCTTCTACCTAATATCGCCTTTTGTGCGCTGTCATTTTTTAATTACATCTCCTTCGCCACCACCTGACCCACAGTGGACAGAATTCTTGCTACTAGCAAGCAACTATTTGTAATTTTACTGCACGCATGACTATGTCTCATTTCTGACATACTATTTAAAGCCTGCTCTCAAGATAAAAAGAATGTCTCTCTTCCTATCACTTTCCATTGCATAACTACAAAATGTGCACTTCACAAATACTACTCCAATTTTAACGCTCCCTCTATTTATTGTCCTCTTTTCTACACAAGCAATTCAGCGTCTGAAGAATTAAAGTGTCAAGAGATATGCATGACTTCCAGGTGTCCAGTTTCAGATACCTGATGATGACCTGAGTTGCACGTAACAGCTGTATTTTCACATGTTAAGTCAAACCTTATATAACTTGCATCCCTTTAAAAATACTGCCTCTCAAAGAGTAAGTCTGCTAGCTTACACGCTCAGATAATCCACACAAAATGAGCAGAGGCAAAGGGAGATCAGAGATGGAAGAGATCTTGATGGAGAAGAGACAGTTATATAGGTAGGTGGAGACAGGAAAATTATATGAAAATATGGGATTCTAAGACAAATGTCCACTTAAGTTATCCATACCTGAACTATCCTACACTTCTGCTGAAAAGATTATTTCTTAATTTTATCTTATTTACAGTTTGGAAGACAAATACATCTAAATTCTACAGCATCTTTTAATGCTTTCTATTGGAAAATAATGTTCACATTGATGCCAGCTGAGCACTTCCACGAATCTGACCCTGTATTACTCTAGTTGAATATCCAGAATTATGACTTCACTCTGTATTGGGAGCCCAACAGCCAAAGTTACATTCTGCATGCACTCTGCATTGCTGTACATGGTCTTTGGTACATAAGAGGCACAAGTGAAGGTTCTGACTTTTTTTTTTCTTACTAATGCATGCATATCTTCCCACCCCTTCCACAAAGGGAACGGATTTATCATAAATTCCAGGCTACTAGCTTTCTTTCTTGCTTGTCTTGTGTTTTAAGAAAATTGACTACCTCTGAAGGCACTGGGATACTGAGACAGGTAAGGAATACAACTATGCAGCAGACAGGAAGAGTAGAATTCGACTATATGAATAAGGAACACATTCTGCCTTTTGGAAGACTGTTCTAAAATGATGCAAATCAACAAATTTCTCCATAAAAACTGTGTGCACACAAATCTATTGAGAACTACAGCTACACTTCAACACACACAAAACAACTCAACAAGAATAATTCACTCTCAGAGTGGACAAAGTGGAATCTGTAATACTTCACTGTATCCTTTGATTTTAAAGAAACTTTTTATCTTTGGAAAAAGAAATCATTCTTTTCACTGCACAAATTAAAACAAATATAAAGTAATCCAGTTCACCCATGAAGAAAAGCTATGTTGCACTATCCAATGTTTGGCCTATGCGCTAGGTGTGAAGTTAAATGGTAATATTAATGAGGAAAAAAAGATCCTTTCCCATAAAAAAATGCATATATTGTGCTTGAATAAAACACTAAAAAATGGAAGTGGTCTACTCAGAAAGAACATAAATTATCACAGCATAACAGAAAGGCACGCAATTTGAATTTTTAGTCTAGAAGCCTACTAGAATCCATCAGTGCACTTACACTGAAATAATTTGATATTTAAAGAGGATGTGTAAGGGCTTTCACAGTTCAATGACTTTTTCATTTATCAACCATTTTGTGACCGGTCTTCAGAAAGCTAATCTGAAATGGCATGCTTTCAGTCATTTCAATTGGATTTATATGCCAGCAACATTTAAACAAACAAACAAACAAACAAAACAAACCACCACTGCACATCTTAGATTTTTCTATTTCTTTTGGGGCTGGTATTTAAACATATAGTATGTCTACTAGCAACTTACAAGAAAGATAAACTTCCTCCCTTTATGTAAAAATCTAGCATGACGGACATTTTTTCAAAGTGTTCTAAATTCTCTTTTATGGTGACTGGTCTAGGTTTTTGAATGGCAATTTTTTAGTGTCCTATGTTATGGCAGCAAAATTAGAGCATATAGGTCATCAGCCGCTTTAAAAAAAACATAGAGTGAAAGATTTATTTCAAGATTCAGAAATCTCCACAGAATCCCAGGTTTTCAAAACATTATCTATTTTATTCCATTAATTTTAACCATTTTTAAAATTTGTTTCTGTGAACGAGAAGGCTTGATTGTGAAGGGATTAACTGTTAAGCTGTCAGGTTACATGCAAATACAGTCACAGCTGAATCATCTTTTTCTGTTTTTTAGGAGATCAAAAGGCTACGGGAACAATTAGATAACCATGAGCCAAAACTACAATTTGGATCATTTTGTCCTCCTAAAACTAAACTATTTTTTCACCAGTCACTGGAAATAAATACAGATTAATCAAACCAAACCACCAAAGAAGGCCTCTGAAATACCTGCTCTTTGGTTTGTGGATACTGCGATCTTTGATTTGTAGGCAACATCATGTTAACCATAAGTAAAATTTCCATGGGAAATCCATTTACTTTGCAGGTAATATTTATGATTCCAATTAAGCCCAGTC